ATCTGAACCGGAATTTTTGTGCATAATCAGTGACCACGTCAAGACACATTGATATTGCGGTTTAAGATATGACTCAAGTGCTCCCCCTAGATTATTCCAAGAGTTATATCTCAGTGAAATATCATTTGATCTAGGCCAGATTTTTGGTACGTTATTAGTAGGGATGCACCGATCCGATCCCGATACCTAAGTCTGAATATCGGCTGATACCGATCCAGTTCCGATATCATGATCATCATAGATTTTATGAGGCTGTAATAATCTCCTCTCAAGTACAATTTGTACAAATCTATGCATGCATGTCCAAAAAGGCAACTTGAGGTAAGTTGTATTAATGTTGGATAAGTTTTAAAGTTAGAATTAAATTCTAACACAAAACATGTTTTTTATTCCTAGCTTTAAAGTGGATAATAAAGTGATTAATTTAAGTGATTGTTTAAAGTTATTTTATATTTTTTTAAATAAGGGGCAAATATAAGATTTTTTTTCTTCTTTCTGCACTCTTTTCATTCAATGTTTTCTTTTTGATGTTTTTTTTTTGTTTCTTTTAAATGAATGAATAAATTAATTAAATAAAATGTTAAATGGCTTCAAACATAGGGCAGCACGGTGGCGCAACTGGTAGAGCTGCTGCCTCTCAGCGAGCAGGTCCTTGGTTCAAATCGGGGTTCGGGGGCCTTTCTGGGTGGAGTTTGCATGTTCTCTCCGTGCATGCGTGGGTTTTCTCCGGGTGCTCCGGTTTCCTCGAACAGACCAAAAACATGCATGTTAGGCTGATTGGTAACTAAATTGTCCCTAGGTGTGAGTGAGAGAGTGAATGGTTGTTTGTCTCGTTTGTCTCTATGTGTCCCTGTGATGGACTTGCGACCCATCCAGGGTGTCCTCCGCCCCTCGCACAGTGATTGCTGGACATGTGCACCAGCGACCCCCGTGACCCAAAATGGAATAAGCGGGTAAAGATAATGGATGCATGGATGTTTTTTTTTTTTTATGATTGTCTACTGTTGTACTGAAAAATATCTCCTGGAGGGTAAACTATATCTTGGTTGCAAGTATCAAGCTGAGAAATCCTTCGTTTTCTACAACTGATAGTGGTTGGTCATTAATTATAATGAAGTTTAGCAACTTCACTGTAAACATTTGAGCTCCGTGGTTTCAGCGATGTCTTCTTCTTGTTCAATCTGAAGCAGGCAGCCTGATTTGGGGCAGCCACGCTCAAGTCTGTCCCTCCTCGGAGACGGGCAGACTGATCGAGGCAGATTGGACGCGGCTGACCGGGGTCAGTTGGCCGCCTCGGGTTGAGCAAAGAGCAGCGCCCCGCTGAAGCCACGGCGCTCGAATGTCCATCATAAAACTAACTTTATCGTGGTTTAATGTGGCGCTATGGCTCTGCAGACATTGCACGTTGCTGTCTTGTTTTGTGTGTTTCTAGTGTAAAATACTTCCACACAGCGGACATGTTTAGATGAAAAGTTTGTTAGCTGTTAGCCACAGTGCTGCTAACTCAGTCCTCAAGTTGTAGCTCGCTGCAAACTATGAAATGGATTTTATGAATGTGAGGCGGGTCTTATTACTCTGAGTTCATGAGACACACCTCCGTTCAGGAAATCCATTCTATAGTTTGAAGCCAACATGCATCATGGATTGGAAATATCGGCAGGAGGATCGGAAAATCAGACACGCAAATTATGCTGGTATCGGATGCCGATACTGGATCGGATCGGCCCCATCCCTAGTTATTAGTGAGCACTTTTACACACACTGGTATTGTTGTTTAACTTTTGACTCCAGTGCGCCCCCTAGATTATCCATCCATCCATCCATCCATTATCTTTACCCGCTTATTTCATTTTGGGTCACGGGGGTCGCTGGTGCCCATGTCCAGCAATCAATGTGCGAGGGGCGGGGTACACCCTGGACGGGTCGCAAGTTCATCACAGGGACACATAGAGACAAATGAGACAAACAACCATTCACTCTCTCACTCACATCTAGGGACAATTTAGAGTTACCAATCAGCCTAACATCATGTTTTTGGTCTGTGGGAGGAAACCGGAGCACCCAGCGAAAACCCACGCATGCACTGAGAGAACATGCAAACTCCACCCAGAAAGGCCCCTGGACCGGGGTTTGAACCAAGGACCTGCTCGCTGAGAGGCAGCAGCTCTACCAGTTGCACCACCGTGCTGCCCGCCCCCTACATTATTCAAACAGTTATATCTCAGTGATACATCATCCAATCTAAACCTGATTTATTTGTGCTTCATCAGTGAGCACTTGTAGACACATTGGTGTTGTTTTTTAACATTTGACTCCAGTGTGCCCCCTAGATTATTTAATCAGTTATATCTCAGTGATACAGTGCCTTGTGAAAGTATTGGGCCCCTTGAACTTTTCAACCTTTTGCCACATTTCAGGCTTCAAACATAAAGATATAAAAAAAATTTTTTTTTGTGAAGAATCAAGTGGGACACAATCGTGAAGTGGAATTAAATTTATTGGATGTGTCAAACATTTTTAACAAATAAAAAACTGAAAAGTGGGGCGTGCAATATTATTGGGCCCCCTTGCGTTAATACTTTGTAGCGCCGCCTTTTGCTGCAGTTCCAGCTCAAGTCTCTTGGGGTTTGTCTCTATCAGTTTTGAACATGGAGACACTGAAGTTCTGCTCATTCTTCCTGCAAATCAGCTGGAGCTCAGTGAGGTTGGATGGAGAGCGTTTGTGAACAGCAGTCTTCAGCTCTTTCCACAGATTCTCGATTGGATTCAGGTCTGGACTTTGACTTGGCCATTCCAACACCTGGATACGTTTATTTGTGAACCATTCCATTGTAGATTTTTCTTTATGTTTTGGATCATTGTCTTGTTGGAAGATAAATCTCCGTCCCAGTCTCAGGTCTCTTGCAGACTCAAACAGGTTTTCTTCCAGAATGGTCCTGTATTTGGCTCCATCCATCTTCACATCAATTCTGACCATCTTCCCTGTCCCTGCTGATGAAAAGCAGGCCCACACCATGATGCTGCCACCACCATGTTTGACAGTGGGGATGGTGTGTTCAGGGTGATGAGCTGTGTTGCTTTTACACCAAACATGTCGTTTTGCATTGTGGCCAAACAGTTGGATTTTGGTTTCATGTGACCAGAGCACCTTCTTCCACATGTTTGGTGTCTCCCAGGTGCTTGTGACAAACTTTAAACAACACTTTTTATGGATATCTTTGAGAAATGGCTTTCTTCTTGCCACTCTTCCATAAAGGCCAGATCTGTGCAGTGTACGACTGATTGTTGTCCTATGGACAGACTCTCCCACCTCATCTGTAGATCTCTGCAGTTCATCCAGAGTGATCATGGGCCTCTTGGCTGCATCTCTGATCAGTCTTCTCCTTGTTCCAGATGAAAGTTTAGAGGGACGGCCGGGTCTTGGTAGATTTGCAGTGGTCTGATACTCCTTCCATTTCAATATGATTGCTTGCACAGTGCTCCTTGGGATGTTTAAAGCTTGGGAAATCTTTTTGTATCCAAATCTGGTTTTAAACTTCTCCACAACAGTACCTCGGACCTGCCTGGTGTGTTCCTTGGTCTTCATGATGCTCTCTGCACTTTGAACAGAACCCTGAGACTATCACAGAGCAGGTGCATTTATACGGAGACTTGATTACACACAGGTGGATTCTATTGATCATCATCAGTCATTTGGGACAACATTGGATCATTCATAGATCCTCACTGAACTTCTGGACTGAGTTTGCTGCTCTGAAAGTAAAGGGGCCCAATAATATTGCACGCCCCACTTTTCAGTTTTTTATTTGTTAAAAAAGTTTGACACATCCAATAAATTTCATTCCACTTCAAGATTGTGTCCCACTTGTTGTTGATTCTTCACAAAAAAATAAATTTTATATCTTTATGTTTGAAGCCTGAAATGTGGCAAAAGTTTGAAAAGTTCAAGGGGGCCGAATACTTTCACAAGGCACTGTATATCATCCGATCTAAGCAAGATTTTGGGTACTTCTGGACACACTGGTATTGTTGTTTAACTTTTGACTCAAGTGCGCCCCCCAGATTATTCCAACAGTTATATCTCAGTGATACATCATCCAATCTATTTTTTGTGCTTCATCAGTGAGCGCATCTAGACACATTGATATTGTTGATTCATGACATCACTTAAGCCCCACATACTCAGAGAAAAAACTGCTGATTATTGGATGACACTTCCAGCTTTGCACTGTGTAAGATATTAGACTGAAACTTTGTTCGCTAACTGTTGATTACCACACGACATGTTGAAAAGCATAAAGGAAGTGCTTGTCGCAACAAAAGAGGAAGTCATCATAACTCCTGTCTGGAAGGTCAGATTTTCGCCTATACTTGTAAGACCTGCAGCTGGACAAGTAATGGCATGGACTGAAGGCGATGTTGAAGATTTGGAAAATGCGCCCCGTCCTGAATGCGTGCTGGATTGGCATGAGAGTGTTCGCAATGGTGACTGGGTGGACTAGCTGGAACTCCCACGGTTGCCGTAAGGCCGGAGCGGCGCTTTGCTGCGAGGGGACTCCAATGCAGCTTGCAGCTTTAATGTGCTTTTGCCCTCACTGCTCTGGGCCCCTTGGAGATCATGGGCCCCTGGGTACTTGCCCAGTTGCCCGTATGGTTAATCCGGCCTTGGTTGTTATGGTTACGCATCATAACAAAAGTCCAAAAGTAAAAAAAGTTTCTATAAAAATCCTTCAACCTGCACAGCATCAAATACCAGAGGAAACCATCATCCAAAAAAATGTGATTTACATCCAGAAAAAGAGGAATTAATGTTTCCAAAAGCAAAATCTCAGAATGAAAGTAACAGAGCTGCTCCAACATGCAGCCACCTCGAGCGGCGCAATGACACATTTATGAGACGCAGCCAATTTCTTCTGAAAACAACTGAATATTAGACTTTTCTTAAAAAAAAAAAAAAAAGAGTAAAAACACCAACACATCATTAAATCTGATCTTTATAGGAAATATTAATTTGACAGATAAGATTCCAGTACTGTCAGGAGATGGACAGATGTTTGGTTTACATTCTTCACAAACAAAACAACACATTTTTGTCTTGCAGATGGTCTCATACAAACTGTGTTTCCATTTGTTGCTATAAATGTAAATAAAGTTGTTAAATGATCATTTCGATATTTGTATTTTCCTGAAAATTAAAAGTTAAATTCAGCAAACATTCATCATAATTACCATTATTATTGCAAGTTTTCTTATAGTGCAAAAATCTTTCTTCATCTTGGGGCAGGAAGTGGTGCTGCCTGAAGGCACAGAGGAGGAACCAAACACCCACAAGCTCAGAGGACTTTTCAAAATAAAAATACTAAAATAAAATGGTGAGCTCAGCGTGTTAACTTTGGTTCAAGAAATTTTCTGCTTTCTGAAGGATTTGTACAGAATTATTGTTTAGAAAAAGTTTACCAACATTTAGGCAAATCAGCTCCGTTTTTACTTCAAGAACTTTTTTGTTTCAGGACGAGAAGCAAAAAATAACCACAAACAAAAACATCTGAGGCAAAAGAAAAACAACCAGCAAGGAAAAACATTCATCCTATGACATCTTTAGTTTTTAAAAATAAGCTTCTGAGAAAGTGCCATCTGCTGGGTCTTGGACGGATTCACCGGATCAGGTGACGAGTGTTGGCACGAATCAGGAATATTTTACTCAAACCCCGCCCCCTCAGTGGCTGCAGGCAGACAGGAAGTGACATCACTGCTTTTTGCTGAGATTTAGGAAGCGCTGGGACTTCTGTCTTGCCATGCGGTGCTGCTGCTGCGCCACCTGAGCGTCACATATGGCCTCGTGCAGCTTCTGTAGGTAACCATAGCAACCAGGTGACCACACAAACATTTGTCTTTCTCACACACTCAGAGACATGAACACACACATCCTGTATAACAACTTCCATCACCAAACCTGCCTACGTCTGTCTCCATGGTAACAGATGACATCTCCACTGTCCCTCCTCGGGACATGTCCAAACCTCTCACACGTTGTCTCCAGACCTGTCCCTCTGGTGGACTCCTAACTAATCTCGTCCATTTTGGTCCCTCAGGGTGAACTCTGAAACTTCATCTCTGCCACCTGCAGCTCCTCGTCTTTCTGTCTCCAAACACTGAAGATCTCTTACTCCCATCAGCGTCTCCATCTTCTCCCCCCACCTGCTCTCTCTTCTCCACCCGTTCTGCTCGCTGCTCCTGATGGTTGACCCCAGGTCCTTGAACTCATCCACCTTCAACACCCCTACTTCCTGCTCCACCTGTCTCCCTCTCATTCACCCTCAGACTGTCTCACTTCTGCTAACTTTCATTCCTCCAGAGCATACCTCCACCTCTCCAGGCTCTCTTCCTCCTGTTCCCTACTCTCACTGCAGATGTTGTCTACAAACATCACAGTTTCCCATTAAGATAAAATTATCTAATTTTGTTTGGATTTTAATTAATGGAAGTTAATTGAATATTTCAACATAAGACAGCTACAGGTTGGCCCATGAACTTGTTTTTAATTTTGGCCCCTGTGTAAAGGAGTTCAACCCCCTTGAGTTCAAAGGTCACACAGCTTGAAATAAAACTTGGATGCCCTGGAGAAACCTGACAAACCTGACTTGTCAGTTTGTGATGTAACATCCAAGAGTGCTTAAAATGTTTCTTTTCATCACATATTTCATCTTTAAAGTTTTCTAAACACTCCTGCTGCCTTTGTGTCAAAATGACCAACAAAATCTAAAAACTGAGGCCTTGTGGATCATTTTGAGCCACAGGCAGCGGAAGGGTCCATGAGGACTCCTGCCCGACTTGACCTGTTCCCTGTTGGAACCCCTCTTCCACACCTGTCTACCTGTCCTGCATCACCCTCACATATGTCTCCACCATGTCTGACCTCACAGACCTTCTCACTCATCTCCAGGTTCTATGGATCCACAAAGACAGAGCAACTCCTAACCTCTACACAGCAACCATGTTCTTCACATTCCTCAGGCATCCTCATACGGTTAACAAGTTCTCTGCCCTCCCCCTTAGACTTCCCACAGGTCTACCACGTGGACCAGTGAGGACCCCCACAGGTCTGGACCAGTGAGGACCCCCCACAGGTCTGGACCAGTGAGGACCCCCACA